GCCTCATAAGCAGTGGAACTCAGCCACTGATCAAACAGCTCAATCTGGGCTGGTTGGTGTAATTGTGTTTACATTTGTAATGTTAATAAAGGGTAAATTGGGTAAAGTAAATTGCTTAAGAGCTTTTTATTATTATTAACACCACTTGTGACCAAAAGCTGTGATACCCTATTTAAATATAGAACATCACCTTGCCTGGTCTTTATTTGTTTTAGTCAGAAGATTCTAAGATTCTTTTATCCATTAAGGGATCGTACACACTTCACTTTGATTCAAGAAACAATCAGTTGTCGTCGTCATCTTCCTCCGCTTATCCAGGTCCAGGTCGCGGGGCAGCATCCCAACTAGGGAGCTCCAGACTGTCCTCTCCCCGGCCACCTCCACCAGCTCCTCCGGCAGGACCCCAAGGCGTTCCCGGACCAGATTGGAGATGTAACCTCTCCAACGTGTCCTGGGTCGACCCGGGGGCCTCCTGCCGGCAGGACATGCCCCATATCTTTCTAATCTCCTCCACATTGTCACTCCCACTCACTCTCTCCGATCATCATCTTCACCTTCCATGTCTGTTCCTCGCACTCGTCTCAGTACTATGGGAGCCAGAGCTTTCAGCCACTCAGCTCCAAAACTCTGGAACACTCTACCGCCTGACCTCCGCAATGTAAACTCCTTCTCAACCTTCAAGTCTCAACTCAAAACTCACATGTTCCGCCTGGCTTACTCACTGTAACTGTCCTCCTTCCATCTACTCTTTTTAGTCTATTACCCATTGCACTGCTCCGACTCTACCCTTGGGAATTACTCTTAGCATTTATTTCTTGTTGTTTGTATAGCTTGCTTGTTATATTTTGCCTTGAGAGCTTTGAAAGGCGCTTGAAATAAAATGTATTATTATTATTATTATTATGAAACATCTCCCCAGGGAGGCGTCCAGGAGGCATCCTGACCAGATTCCCAAACCACCTCAACTGACTCCTTTCGATCCGGAGGAGCAGCGGTTCTACTCCGAGTCCCTCCCGAATGTCCGTCAGCCAGTCAGGTTTAAGAAAAATAAGAATTTATTTTACAAACAATTAAGACTTGACAAAACGTTTAAAGTATTATTTACTGTGAACTAAAGGATGGTGTCTGGAACCTATGTGTGAATATAATGTATTCAGAATCTCCATTTCTCAGGAAGAGTTCTGGATGGAAAGAATTTGGGTTGCAAATAAGCTATACAGTTTTTATTATCAAAACCACATTCAGCTGCCATCTGTTTGTCTACATTACCCGGATTTGGAGACCTCTTGTGGATCCGAAAGTGAGAGGGGTCGGGTGACCGCTGGCACCGGAGGGCTGTAGAGTACCGAGGTACCGATCCTTTCAGTCCAGTGACGTCTCCCGGGTCACTACTAGGGATGGGTACCTTTGACCTTTGAATCGATTCTGTACAAATTCCCGGTACCTAGGAATCGATACCGGTACTTAACGGTACCAATTTTAGATACTTTTGAGTGTTTATTATTTTAATTCTTTTTTATAATTAAATATATATTTTTCTCAATATATAACCATATTTGATAAATATCACGATAAATAACATTCAACTGTTTGTATTAACATCGTCGTTAAGCTGATAATTAAACTGAAGCAAACATCTTTACTGTGAACTAAATTTACTGTGCATCTTCATTCCTTTTACCGTTCTTTTTCTTTGATTTTTCCTACTGGGAAGTTAGAATTTCCGAGGAGAAAGCGAACGGACCATTAGCTGATAACAATGGTGGCAATGGAAGCTAATTTATCAAGCTAACGTTATCTTAAACCATTTATTTAGCTGCTGGAGCAGATTAAAACGATGATGCCTCACACTTAGATCGTTGTCACTGGTTTTGTCTTCACCCAATCACCCGTCGCATTTAGTAAAGTGAAGCCAAACTTTAGAGCGTGTTCATGTTCATCCAGTCGGAAATTCGGAGTACCGAGGAGAAAGCAAACACACCATTAGCGGAATGGAGGCTAACAAATCAAGCTAACGTTATCTTAAACATTTTATTTACCTGCCGGAGCAGATTAAGATGAGGATGTCTCACTTAGATCATTGTCGCTGGTTTCATCATCACCCAGTTACCCATCACATTTAGTGAAGTGGACCCAAGCGTTAGCGTGCGTTCTTTCTACCATGCTGCTGTGTTTACAACTGGCTCGCAGCGACCGACGACATAACGCTCTTGCGCATGCACAGCTGTCTAGGCAAGTTCTCGTTATGAAGGACGGGTACCGAAACGAGGCACCGTTTGAAATGACGTGAATCGGTGCTCGGTCGGTACTATGGAATTTGGTCGGTACCTTAAAAAGTACCGAATTCGGTACTCATTGCTAAACATGACAGATGGATGAAACCGAGCATCTTAAAAGGAACTCTGATGGAGTTTTGCAATATCAGCTTTCTTCTGCAGGAAACTATCTTGTTGTTTCAGCTTCGCAGGTGCGAAAAAGGTTAAAGGTTTTGTCAACGTGTCAAAATCCTTACTGGTTAAAGAGGTGCTAAAGATGGCCGGTCTGAAGCTCGCTCTAGAACTCACAAATTACTCAAAGTCATCTAGTTTTAAAGAATTGATTTTATGGTTTGGCCAGCCAATCAGGGGCTGACAAGTTTGAGAGATGTTACCAAGAATCTCAGAACACACCCTCTTCGATCTGGACACCCTGAACCTGGGCAAAAGGTTAACTATGTGTCATGCGTTAGCTTAACTTTACTCTGTGTTGTATGAGTGCAAATGGTGATGACCTCATCAAGTAAACATACTAATCATATATCATTAAACACAGATCAATGAATATTTCATTGTTTATAATTATAAATATCAACATTTAATGATTATCTTTAAATATAAAATCTTTTTTCTTCTTCTTCTTGGAATAAAGGAGTTTATTTAAAAGAGTTCCTCTGTGATGGATCTTGGAGGAGAATGTTATTGTTTATGTTTTATTATCTCTCAGAGCTGCAGTCCAGCTGGTGTGAGGAAGGCAGGCTCTGATTAAAGGGACTACATGCAGACTTCCAGTCTCCTGTGAGGGGAAAATCTTGTAGATTGTGTCATAGCCACGTTAAGTTGACCTGGCTGTAAATCTTGACCTGTGGGATCTCAAAATCAGGCCATTTTGTGACGTTACACATCTGTGTTATCCGTGCGTTGTCCACGCTGAACAGACTTTTTTTTTTGTCCTGTTCCCCAGCTAACCCAACCCACCTCATATACACTGTTTGGCTGGCTGAAGTTCATGCCTATCTGCTAGGGAGCCTCTGATTGGTGGGTATAATCAGCCAGAGGCAACTTCCCACATACATGATTCAATATCAGTCTGGGTGCTTTGGGGTAAACATCTTCTCGAACCAGAGCTGCTGCGCGAGGACTGACTGTCTGATGTGAGCTTTCTTGAATGGGCGACGAGTCCACGGCAGCACCGCTGCTCAGTGAGAGTAGGAAGCAGTGTGCTTCATGTCAGTCTCCAAAAGCAACACTTCCTTTTCTGAACTTACTTGTGAAGCTTAAGAAGGAAACCACAGACTTCTCTGCGCCTCTTTCGCCCCTCCTACGTGCTTTGAGACATCCACATTGCTGAGAAGGCTGTGTAAACAAAACCTGGCATCGCAGGAACGGGCTGTCCCCACCCGACCCAAGCCAAGCTCATCTAAATGTAAATGGGCCTAAATTACCCATTATGGACCCACACTATTACATTATGAGAGCGTTCACAACATGGCTGCTACGATGGTTAAGTTGCAGTGACTTATTCTCTCTAAAACATTGACTTAAGTTTCTTTTCCAAACATGTATTCAGCTCTAACCTAATGACAGACCTTTAATAAATAAAATGGCATCTGTTTTCATGTTCTTTTCTCACAGCAAAACAAAAAGGCTGACAGAAAATAATCACTGTTGCTTTTATCAGTTCTCAAGTGGAAAATGCAATGGTGCTTGTTTAGGCTGATGTAAAAATTGTAATGTCTGAGAAATGTCAGAAAAACTCCTTCAGAATAAAAAAAACCCCTGATGTTTTCAGTTAAAACCCAGTTTTTATCAGAGGTAAAAACAGGTTGTCCAATGAAGTCAGGTGATATAAATTTAACCAGATATTTTTAACTGAATATCAATAATGAATGTCAATTTTCACTGAGATCTTAACCAAGCAACATGCTGTGAAATAAGCAATGCGACATACAATGACACAGTGGTTATCAGCTTTTATTTTGTTAATTCAAAACATTTCTAGTCATTAAAAACTAGATTAATATTCACGATGGTGTCAGAGCATTTAGAAACAAATCCTACTATTTGATTTACCTCAACATGAATCCACATTTTAACATCAGTGCCATTTCCACAGATGATCCCAACCCTCGCTCTTTACTGTGGTCTAAGGGGTTTGACATTTTTAAAGTTAATCCAAGCAGCTGATCATTTTTGTCATTGAGTTGAAAGTCTCCCAAAGCTCTGGTGAATTAACCTCTCTGACGGTTTAAGTGGTTCCTGTGAGGTTATGAGCAAATGCATTGCAGCCTACAGGCATGTTTGAAACCCCAAAACCAGCTGCTGTATTTTATTTAATCCCATTACCAAAGCTTCCAGTGCATCAGCCTACCTGTCGACATTTGGCGCTCCTGTCCTGCATGTCTCTGTTTGGAGACGGTACTGATCCCAGAGCTTGAGGTAGATCCACCGGGAAGAGCCATATCTCGCCTTTTCTTATGCTCAGGAGAGGGAGTCAGGGAGAGGAGAGGAATGGGGAGAAACACCTGAAGGGAGAGAGGGAGGACAGACAGACCCAGCTGCTGGCTCAATCACTCGACTAAGTCTTATTCTTCTTTCAGCTTCCTGCGTTATTGCCAACATTTTTGCAACTGAGCAAATGTGCACACGAGAAGACCCCCCCCCCCCCCACACACACACACACACACACATATATATATACACTGACCTGTTGTTGTTTTTTTTCTGTGTTCCTCCATTTGACAGGCAAACAAAGACCCGCTCTTTCTGACGGGGGTGACCTTCCCTTCAGAGTATCCTGACAGCCCAGAGACCATAGTCAAGCTAACAGTGTGTGATGCAAGAAGCAAGAGCCAGGAATCTGTGAGTAAACAACAGTTGTTGTTGCCTCTGCATGCATGTATTCTGTGTTTGCATGTTAAAACAATCACATGAGAGATCTATATTGGAGACAATGTGTTTGAAGTGGTGCTGATCATGTGTGCTGAAGTTCTCTGGAAGGGGAAGATTAAAAAAACCACAAGATGCAAAAATCTCATGTTTAATTTCATCCTGATGCAGAGGAGAAAAAAAGAGTGTCTTAGTACTTATTCCTTTAGTGAGTCCCAGACCTTAAACCTCTGCAGCTTTGAAAGAGAAGGTTGTGGAGCATAGGAGCATCTGAGCATGGCAGCCCATCCCTTGGGAAAACCAGCTGGCACATCCGTGGGAACTGTGGACGGAGAGCCACACAGAATCCTGAGCAGGCAGAGCCCTGTGATTTAGACGTTCAAAACAGAATTTTTTAACAGTCTCCTCAACACGGATATGCTTGATCTCAATCAAACAACTGACTCAAGCTGGGACATCAGCATCTTAATTTAGTATAACCTATCATCTAAAACATTAATGAGCTTTGGGGTAGAATAGGAAGCTGTTACAGCTGTCATTTAAATAAATCTGCAGCAATAATGGCTGATTTTCTTCTGTGTGCTGTTCCGTGGAGATGTTCGATATCTTCAAACTCAATGCCAATATTTAAAGTGTCTCTACTGGTGCAGACAGCTTTTTAATTCCAGCCAGCCTCCACAAGTGTAAGGAGTTTTGTGACCTCTGCTTATCTATTCTTCACATGGAGCACAGATTCAAATGCAAATTTAATGATTTTTAATAATAAAGCAAGGTCACTATAAGGATTTGCCAATTCTAATGGACAGAAAGTGTGACTAGCCTGCTTCTTTAATCTTCAGTGGCAGCTCTTGCGGTTTGTGGGTTTTGGATTTTTTATAGTTGCTTGAACAGACGTCAGTTTCACTTCATATTTGTCAGTTTCAATGAGTTTTGTCTGCTTATCACTGTCGCGAAGAAAACAAAAGTCTAAAGGGTAAAGATAACTAAAAGCAAAACAAAACTTTCGCACATCGTTGAACTTGCCGTTGGAATATTTTGGGAACCTGACTTTTATCGGTAAGGATTTTACTTTTATTAATATTTATGTACATACAGGAGATACTGGAAAAATGCCTGACCGCTGGGGAGAAGGTCTGAGAAAAATAGTCTCCTCGGCACCAAAAACACTAATCTGACCTGTGTGTGAAACCAAATTCCGGTGCCGTTTGATACCTTTTGGGGACGTGCCGACGCTAACGTGTGAGTGCCATAATAACCCCTATCAAAGGACCCGGTACCCCATACTGCCGGAGTACCCCCCCACTGACCAAACACACGTTTCTTCACTTTGCGTGCTAACGTCAGAAGTCAAGACAAACAAATACTTATTTAAATTCATGATGAGAAACACCATGAGTCATTTAGCTGATTTAGAATTTTGTTTTCTCCTTATCTTTATTGTTGGATTGTTGTGTTATTCCTTCAGGCTTTGGTTGTGTTGCTGAGTGCCATTTTCTTGGATTTTATCCATGTGCTCTGCCTTTTCAGCTTTGCAGCATTTTTGTTCATGAAATTCTTTTGTCGGTTTAATTAATCCTCCTGCTTCTTGGCTACTCTGCTTTTTGGGTCCCTAACCTCAGCAGGGCCTCTTGACACACTATAACTTTTTTAAGCAGCATAACACAGTTTTTCTGTCATTATGACATTATGCCTCATTTATTTAAACAATGAAATACAAACACAATGTGTTTTTTCTCATTTTAGAGCTACAATATGTAAGGATTTTACTGTGAAATAATCACAAAACAGTCTAGCGCCTCAATCATGTTGGAAGGAAGTTTTTACTGAAGCAGATGTCATTCTCAGTCTAGCTCGGGTGTGTTAAAAAGGCCAAAGAGGGATCAGACCCAGTCTCAGTGCTCAGTGCTCTCACTGCGAAATGTCTGTGAAGTGAAACGCAACATCAAACTCTCTCCAGTGTGAACACTTCATGGCCCCAAAGTGACCCGCATGCACAGAAGACAAGAAGTCAGAATATCTTATATGGGTCGCATGTGGGGGAAAAAAGCAGATTTGATGCTCTTTGCCTGCAGTGTGAACGTCGCCTTAGAGGAGCTGCGCTGTACGGCTTCGAGGGCGTAATCCACAAGTATGCCATATTGCACATGTGTCAGACTCAAGGCCCACGGGCCAGATGCGGCCCGCGGAGCATTTTTATGTGGCCCGCGAGATAAATATCAAAAATATATTAAAACTGGCCCGTTGGCCGATTTTACAGCAAAGACTTCAACTCCCATGATGCTTTGCGGCGTCAGCGCGGAGCCAACGCGCCCCCTCCTTTGTGTTTTTTCCAGCGCCTGCTGCCGGTGTCTGCAGCTCCGCTGTCTCGGACAAACTACACTCTCCTCTCACTCAGCGCCGAGTTCACTCAGCTATTTTCTGACGTTGAAGCCCAGAAACGGAGATTTTAACTGCTCAGTAATGTGTTCACGACTGAAAGAGAAAGTTTTCCAACTAACGTCCAGACAGAGCTGATATAACTCCAGCGAGCAGCGGCACGCTCAAACCAGCACGGCTCTGTAGCTGCTGTAGTTGTGTTTCCTCCACGACACACAACAACGCGGTCAAGCTGCTCAGACATGTTCATCAGCACAAACCTATGTGAGCACCTGTTGTCATCTAATGTTGTCATTATTATGATGAAGATGAACAAAACAACAGGAGTCTCCTCAGCTCAGATCAACCCCATGATGCAGGTATCTGGCTGGAACAGGTGAGCATCACAGTAAACCAGTGGAACAAACTAAGCTTTAAATATGTTGGTTTTATGCTCTTTTTCTGCTCCAAAACATGAAAGTTAACAGGTGAGATGTTGCATTTTCATTTAAGATAAAATGATATTTTTATTTTGTTGTTGGCCCGTGAGAAAAGATTTAACCTACAGTAAACAGGAAGTGGAAAGGCTGCAGATAGATGAGTAGAATAGAAAATCCCTTTATTGTTCCTCAGTGGGGAAAGCTAGACGTCACAGTAGTGATGACACGTATTACAGGAGAAAAAAAGGAGAATAAAAAATAAGAAAAATGAATAAACAACAGGAAAACATAAATATAGATTGAATAGATTGTAAAATGCTGATTATACCACAAGTAATGAACACCACTGATGCCTTTTATTTAAAACGGACTTGCTCGTGTGTAATTTGGTTATTCCACATTCAGTGTTAATGCAGAAATACGTTTGTTTCCAAATTTAAAGGTTCAAAATTGCATACATGTTGATAAAGAAAATGTGCAAATTTGCTGTCACTTTTTCAAAAAATATTAAGTTTGGCCCTCGACTCCGTCCCAGAGTTTCATTTCGGCCCCGTGTGAGTTTGAGTTTGACACCCCTGCCATATTGGGACAGAGAACATTGTGTCATCGTCCGCGATGCATGCAGGGATGCCGGTCGCTGTTTGTGCTGCTTTATTTAAAATCTTTATTAACAACTTTCAAAATAACAAGTATTTGACTAAATTTATATTCATCGCTGTCCACATTAAATTTAGTCTAAAACATTCAGAGCATGAACAAACGCCGTTTATTGCAGGGGTCTCTCAGCTTTTTTGACCCGTTAGCTACTTTTACACAATGAAAGTAGAGAAGAGTTACTGCCATTCAATTTATTCCCATTGATACGTTCCATGTATAAATATGCTTAAAATGCTATGCTTACTATATTAATGTGCGTTGTATTTACTAGTAGATTTATCTGTATTTCAACACATCAATATTATAAAAAAGTACAAAGAAATAGTAACATTCTGAAAATCTAACTAAACTAAACATTTTGTTTATTAACGAATGTGAAACTTTCAGATAATGAAATACAAATCTACTTTGTGTGAATGATTGACATTTTTAGAATAGATCAGTGTAACATCACTTTATGAGCACAAAGGAACAGCCGTTCAGTCCCTGCCATAAGCAGCAAAGTTGGTTTTTCCTAGTGTTCAGCTGTTCTGTTGTAAATGAACAAAAACTTTCAAAAACTAGAATACCTTTTAAAATGGCATTTAATAGAAAACCTTTCAGGTAATGATGTTGTGTTATGACTACTTTTCCAAACATGCAACACTAAAATTCTCATTAAATGTACAAAGCTGAAGATAATTAAAATAAACTGCAACCTAATGAAAACACACAATTCAAAATAGTTTGAACTGAAGTAAAAAATGTAAAAAAAAAAACATTTCTTACTGCTTTTCGGGTAAAACTATGCTTTGTTGACAATATTAAAATCGAGAGAGTGAGATAGAGGGATTGAGAGAAATAGAGCAACAGAGAGAGAGAGAAATAGAGCGAGATAGAAATAGAGAGAGAGCAAGAGAGAGAGAGAGAAAGACAAATAGAGAGAGAGCGAGAGAGAGAGAAATAGAGTGAGATAGAAATAGAGAAATAGAGAGAGAGAAAGACAAATAGAGAGAGAGAGAGAGAGAGAGAGGGAGAGAAATAGAAAGAGAGCGAGACAGAGAGAGAGAAAAAGAGTGAAAGCAAGACAGAGAGAGAGAGAGAGAAATAGAGAGAGAGAGAGCAAGATGGAGAGATAGAGAGAGAGAGAGAAATAGAGCGAGATAGAGAGAGAGAGAAATAGAAAGTGAGAGAGAGAGCGAGAAATAGAGTGAGATAGAAAGTGAGAGAGGAAGGGAGAGAGAGAGAAATAGAAATAGAGAGAGAGAGAAAGAAATAGAACGAGATAGAGAGAGAAATAGAGCAAGATATATATATATATATATATATATATATATATATATATATAGAGAGAGAGAGAGAGAGAGAGAGAGAGAGAAATAAAGAAAAAGAGAGAAATAGAGCGAGATTGAGAGAGAGAAATAGAAAGTGAGAGAGAGAGAGAGAGAAATAGAGTGAGATAGAAAGCGAGAGAGGGAGGGAGAGAGAGAGAGAAAGAGAAATAGAGAGAGAGAGAGAAAGAAATAGAACGAGATAGAGAGA